AAACCAACAAACAGATAAAACCAACAAACAGACAAACCAAAAAAACAGACAAACCACAATCAATAAAATTCTTTTATTTAACCTTTTTATACTTGTTCTTAAATATATAAATAACTTAAATATTAATTTCAAATCTATAATTTTCTTTATAAATATAATCCTTTTTAGAGATTCCTATTGTGGAGAATAGAGCAAATGAAGACGATATTTCTGAAAATATCAAGGAAGCTTTAGATAGACAATTTAAGGTGCTATGGTCACAGTGGATATCGAGATCAAGGGTTAAAAATTAGTTCCATCATTGTAAACAAAAATTTCGAAATTCTGATTAGTTTATGAATTTTTACAATTTCTGGAATTTTGCCTTTTTCTCCTGAGCTAAAATGCACCTTTTGCTAATCAAGACGGCCATAAATAAGCTAAAAATACTGTTTCTTATAAAAATGGTATAATTAAGATGATTTTTTTATGAATATCATAATTATTGTAATTATAAATTGTAAATAAATATTTAGATCTTAAAAAATAATTATTGTAATAATAATAATTGTAATAATTGTAATAATAAGATCTAAATAAAAAACCACAGCTAAATTCATTGGATTTAAATTTTTGCTTATTTAATTTTTTTGTTTTAAGGCTGACTGCATTCTTATCCGAGGTCACGGCCTCTATACTTGGGGAACCTCCTGGATTCAAGCTAAGGTATGATCTGCACTTCAAGCTCCAGGATTAATACATCTAACTTTCTATTTCTCGAAGACGACATTTAACTAAAATTTAATTAAGACGACATTTTTTAAAGGTTCATGCCGAGTCCTTGGACTGGATATTCAAGGTGGTTTTGGAATCTAAGAAACTTGGAATTCAAATTAACTGTTCTTAAAAATGTTGTTAAACATACAGTAGAACCCATAAAGCAGTGGAAAATGAAGATGACATTTCATCAATCTTGTATTTCATGTTTTTTTAAGGAGAATATTTTTACCAGTAGATTATAAATCAAGTTTAACGTAAAATGAGACTGACAAGTTTCTCTGTTTTATATTGATTGGATTGTTTTAAATCATTTAACTTGAATATAAACTAATTCCACAGGCATATAGGCCAACTGCTGTATGTTACAGGTATTTAGGCCAACTGCTGTATTTTCCATGAAAATAATTATAATTTCTATTTTTTTCCGAACGAATGATAATTTTCAGAACAAAATGACCCTGACAGCAATTATCTACAAGAGTTCAACTCGTGAGCTGGAGTTACTGGATCAACGACTTCTACCCACCAAAACAGAATTTGTAGTTTGTAAAAATTCAACAGAGGTCAGTTGGAACAATTGCAACATTCCAAAAAATTTAAAAAATTTATTTCGATAAAACTTTAAAATTTCCTGAAGTTATATCATGTTAAAAAACAAAAAATTAATAAAATAATAAACTGCTTTTCAAAAAGATAATTTTAACGGTTTTAATGGAACAGACAAAGTTTCTAGTTTCCCTCTAATTTTAGAGTGGTTGATTCACAACAGTTACCTTAAAAGCTATGTTTGATATATCTGATGTTTTGTTTTTAAAACCTGTTTATTTTCATTGGTAGTTTATATCAAACGTCACTTGCGCATGTATTGCTGAAACAATAGAGAAATGATTAGAATTAAATATTCATTAAGCAAGAAAAACGACGTTATCTTCCACATTATTCACCAGATTGTTTTAAGATTACACAGTATAAATGCTGTACTTTCTGTTCAGTGGAATATCTAAAATTAACACTTTAATTAAACAGATGTCTTTCATATTTCACAATTTAATCTTTATTTAACTTTAACTTTGTGAAGTAATTCTCCATCTTCCAAATAGGAATGTTGAGAATATCTTGATTTCTTCATGTGTGGTCTGCTATAGATCGGATGTAGCTTCAGTTTTTCTCAAATCAGCAGCCACTCCATTCTCCAAGATTCTTATCATACAGTTGTTTAAACTGAACTGTATTTCTTGCATGTTTAACATCATAGGGTAAAGCATTCCATAGGTCAATAACTCTGTGTGAGAAAAAATTCTTCCTTATCTCCAG